GATCTGTGCAATCAACATTGTCTCTTCGACTCCATCTCATGTCTAATTAGATGCACCCTCCTGGTAAGGTCTTTTTTTCTCCATGTCTACATGGATGATGGGATCAACTCGGTAAAACCCAGATAGTAAGAAAGAAGCAGAAGGAGAAGAAGTCCATCCACAAAATGCTGACTCGAGTCCCACTGTTAGAGAACAACAGAATCAACATATATCCTCTTTGCTTACGTTGATCTGTGCAATCAACATTGTCTCTTCGACTCCATCTCATGTCTAATTAGATGCACCCTCCTGGTAAGGTCTTTTTTTCTCCATGTCTACATGGATGATGGGATCAACTCGGTAAAACCCAGATAGTAAGAAAGAAGCAGAAGGAGAAGAAGTCCATCCACAAAATGCTGACTCGAGTCCCACTGTTAGAGAACAACAGAATCTGCAGGTGTTAGACACCGATTTATATCGGGTTTATATATTTATTATTATAATTATTATTAGGATATTTCTTATTATGGTTAGTAGAGGTGGCAATTGGATCGGATCCATGGATTCGTGGATTGGTGGATCCATGGATCAAACGGATTGGATCCAATGGATTGGTGGATTCATGGATTGGATCAAATGGATTGATGGATTGATCCATGAATCCAAATGACATCCAAGGCTTGGACCAAAATGTAAAATTTGAAAAGTTTTGGTACTAAAATGTCATAATGAAAAATTTTAGGTACCAAAATGTAATTTTTCAATTATATTTTTCGTGTGAAAATATAAATTTTAGTTACCAAAATGTAAAATATAAAAATATAGGTACCAAATTGTAATTTGCCATTTGGATCCATGGATTGATCCATGAATCCACCAATCCAATTGGATTTGGATCAAATGGATTGGATTTAAATGGATTGGATTATGTGGATAATTTGGTGGATGGATTGGATTGGATTCATGGATTTGGATCCTAATTGCCACCTCTAATGGTTAGTAGTCTTCTAGTAGAATTATGTTTATTCTTAGGGTTTTCTAGTATTTCCCTATATATATGTACTTTGGATCATTCGTCAGATTAAGCAGAAATTAATAGAAAAGTCCTCCTTCCCCAAAACCCTAATCTCTTTCTCTCTCAAATCTCGTCTATCCTTCTCTCTAGAGGCTTAGGCCATTCTTTCTGTTCTTCCCCAATTCTGTTCCTAATCCCAAATTCTCTTCTCAAATCCCTAAATCACCAGTTCTGTTCTATAAACCCTAAATTCTCAATCTCTAGATCTGATCTAAAGACCCGTTAGAAACTTGTTTCTAACATCTGGTATCAGAGCCTGGTTCCGACAGGCGAGTTCGTCATAACTCTCTGAGGGACAACTTCCTACCAGATTGATTACCAATGAGTTCAACGGAGATATCGGAGCTGACGTGGGCTCAGAAGCAGGAACGACTAAGGCATATAGTGGAGTACTGGAAAGCATACGGGTTGCGTCGCGGGAAGGCAGACACGGACGCGAGGCGGCCGCGTACTGCAGAGGCTGACTGGTTCGACGAGCAGCAAACTTCGACGCGCACCGCGGCAGACGATGACGAAACAAAGAAGCATCCATCGATGGCGGGTGATGAGGCAGCCGACGAGGCAAAGGTGACTAAGTCACCACCAGCACTGGCAGCTGAAGTCGCCACCATACACCTTTCACCTGCTGTCGAAGATGGAGATCCGGATGTTGAGATTCAAGATGGGCAGCAGCTCCCGTCACAACCAGCCACCACCATTGTGGCTTCACCACGAACACAGTTTGCAGCGGTTGGACAACCATCCAGGGAGAAGAAACGAAACAAGGCTGCCGAGGTTCCTTTCGTGGCCGTGACCGAAGAGGAAGGAGATCTTGCCTCTTTCGTCCTTGTTCCCGACAAGGAGAGGACAATCACCCCTGAACAAGAAAAGAAGACATTTGGCTGCCTCTGCTGCTTTTCCAAGTAAAGAGAAGACATTTGTCTTTGAGAAGGAACCCAAAGATGAAATTGCAGGGAGTATAGCAACGCCAAATCGGTCAGCGAACTGGTTTAGGAAAAAGAAGGTGCGACCGGGCGAAGGAGGCCGCATCGCGGTGGCGTCGTTGCCAAGTTCGAGAAGGTACTTGGCGCCACCAGTTGGGCTCGGTGAGGCCAAACCGACCGTTGCAATAGCCGAAATCCAAACGGCCAGGATCGGGGAGTCTCGATTGAGCTCAGCTGAGCCTCGCGTCACCATCTCTCAACGCAAAGAGGAGTTGGCCTCGATCGACGCAGAGTCAAATGCCGCCACGAACAGGATCGTCGCACGAGGTCGGAAAATTCGCTCGTTGATGGCAGAGCTCGGCACCGCGACCGCCGGACGAAACGAGTTGGAGAAGAAGCCTATGATTCGGATCGCAACGGGTTCGGAGGCAAGGTTGGCAAGGCAGGCTCGCCGGGTTTCTCTGCCAGCAACACGAAGCAGTTACGGGGCGTCGCAGTCGGCGAGGAATCCAATTGGTATGACGATCAATGAGAAGAAAGAAGCGGAGCACTCGCCGGAGAACGGGGCGAAGCGGGTGCCGTCAAAGAAGATGACGGCGACCATCGTGGCCGCGTCGACCATCGAGAAGACAGTGCAAGAGTCGAGGCGAGGAGTGTGCTGGTCTCCACGCCATGGGCTGGGCAGTTCGCTGCCAAGAGAGGAGCCGCCGTCAAAGGCTGGGGAGGTAGACATGTCGTTGTTGGGATTCGAGGCGACAACGGGGAGGACGACGTCGGAGATAAAGCCACCAGAGCTCGAGTCGTCGTCAGATTACGAGTCGGAGTTGAAGACAGTAGCCGGGTCGGGTGGTTCGCCGCCGAGAGATGAGGAGTCGGAGAAAGCGGCTTCGAAGAAGGAGACCGGCGGCTGCGACCCTCTGCCTCTTGTGAACCCTAGGCGACAGCTACAGGTGGAGTTGGGCCGAGAAGACTTGGGTCGCACAGCTGGGTTCACGCTGGGCCGAGTTTGGTTGAACCATCAGAGCGAACCTACGCTAGAATGGAGTTGGGCTGAAGCGGGCCAAAGTTATGGGCTGGTCCTGGGAAAGAAAATGGTTGGGCTTAGATCAAGACACACAGAGCAATTAAGCGAGCTTAAAAAGGGCCCATTGGTTAAGTCTGTTTGGTTTATATTTGGGCCGAGTTTCCAAGAGGGTTGTGGGCCATCAATGGGCTATCTTGTTGGATTTGTTTTGCAAGAAAAGAAGATGAAGAAGGAAAGTGGTGGGCTCATTGAGCTTTCAATAAAGGTTAACTCAAATCAACTTGGAGAAGAATGGAGCTTAAAAGAACTTGTCTTCACCACCAAGCACGAGAAGGAATTTATAGAGCAGTCTACTGAAGATTTCGGGGTGGTTAATGAGGGCCATGTGGCTAGGGAGGAATCAACGGAAGTGAGAGTTGCTGGTGGGGGATTTGTTCGAGTTCTCGAACCAGATTGGAAGAAAAGGAAGTGCAAGACGCGGAGGAGTAGACACGCGAATCACCCAATCAAGGCAGAAAAACGGATCAAGTCGGTCAACCTTGAGGGCAAGGTTGGTCTGAAGGGGGAGGAGATGTTAGAAACCGATTTATATCAGGTTTATATATTTATTATTATAATTATTATTAGGATATTTCTTATTATGGTTAGTAGTCTTCTAGTAGAATTAGGTTTATTCTTAGGGTGTTCTAGTATTTCCCTATGTATATGTACTTTGGATAATTCGTCAGATTAAGCAGAAATTAATAGAAAAGTCCTCCTTCCCCAAAACCCTAATCTCTTTCTCTCTCAAATCTCGTCTATCCTTCTCTCTAGAGGCTTAGGCCGTTCTTTCTGTTCTTCCCCAATTATGTTCCTAATCCCAAATTCTCTTCTCAAATCCCTAAATCCCCAATTCTGTTCTATAAATCCTAAATTCTCAATCTCTAGATCTGATCTAAAGACCCGTTAGAAACTTGTTTCTAACAGCAGGACCATTTATTACTGCAGATGGATACAACACCTAGGTAGTTGAAATAAGAGGTGGTTGAGGTAGCCTGTTTCCATCCCTCGAGGGAGATCCCAACGAGAAGGGTTGTCATGGCGGCGTGATGGATGAAGTCGAGTTTGCTGCTTTGTCGGCACTGGATGTCTGAGAACGAAAGCACAGTCGTTATGGATCCATGCACTGAGACATTGATTGAAAATCACTTTACAAGCGTCATCGTAAGAAATCTGGTATATGAATCTCTTCAACATTGGTCAATCGGTTCGTTCAGCTAGTTTGTCCTTTTATTTGGGAGCAAGCTTTTTTGCTGGAAAGATGCAAATGGAATCACAACCATCCTCAACATGAAGCAAGCTTAAGAAATTGAAAAGAGGCCATCTTCATTTTCTTTGCAACTTCAATAAAGCCACCAATCAACATGCCACAACAATAGGAATAGGAACTTCCAATGATAGATTCCATTGATAAAAAAAGTTACACAAATAGGAAGACCCTTTTCTTTTCTCTTTCTCCCCTCTTTTATTTCACTTCATGTCCTCACCTCTTTACAGTTTTCCCTCCAAGAAGTGTTGCTGCCTTTAAATCTCAACCTTCCAAGTTTTCCAAGTGGTAAAGATTAGGTGTCCCTTTATTCTAAGTTAGTAGGATTTGACTGGATTGAGGCAAATCTAGTTTACATTGACAAAGTGTGTGAACATGGATGCTATATTATTATGAGTTGTTCAACTGTTCCAGGACACACCATTAACTAATTCTTTAATAAGCCCATGGTTGATGCTGATGTAATACTAAATTAGGGTTCATGGAGGGAAGATAAAGGAGAGCAAAAGAGGGGAAATTGTATAATTTCAAAGGAGGCACATGGGATTGAGTAAAGAAATGGTCCCTACTGCATTGGCCATTACCAGCCAAAGAGTTTGAATTAAAGGCCCCATTATTGATTGAGTCAATGAATAGATACCACAACCCCCACATTGCCCCACTTCAAAGGAAACAGATCACCCTTCAAAGGACTTACAGAACACCCTTCTATTACAAAAAGACCAAAAGGAAAACAACAAGAGAATACAAGAAAATAAAAGCAAGATGGTCAGTTTTCCCTTTTGATCAAGTTCAGGCATATATGTAATACAATGTCAGTGAGATTTGAGATGTAAAAGAAGCACTCAAGATATGACCACATATGCTGACAGTAATGATCCCCAGGAGGAGTCAGTTATAACTACAACAAAGCTAATATAGGAGACACTTATCAGTACATCAAAGCTACTATTCTAACCTCCCAAAGCTCAATCCACCTATGAAATTATGCATATGCATTTGTCAGCATTTGAAATACCACACCAGTGGCTACCAATTCCAGTCCCATTTCACTCGAATGGATGTTTCGAGTGATATGGCAAACGTAGCTGATGCAATAGCCTTGTCTAATTCGAATGCAGTAAATATTCAGACACAAGATCATTGTACAGAGAGAAGAAAGGGCATCATCTCTTGACTATTTCAGGTCTCCTACATCTATGCTAATCGGTCAATCTTTATCGATGTACTTCATAATGAATTGGAGATCAGCAAGCAAGCAGATCAGTTGACAAAATATATCCCACACAACTAACCATCGCAAGATATTCGAATTAGCAACCCCCTCCAAAAAATTTAACAATATGAGAAGCAACACAAGGACAAACTTTGAGCAATAGCTTAATGACTAGAGACCTCACAGAATTGAGAATGCTTCATTTCTCTTGCGTTTCCTCCTCAAGATGCTTCGCAGTTTATTTCTCTTGTGTTTTCTTCATCCATGGCAAATCATCACTAAGTGAAGATGGCATACCCATATTGACATCTGTAGACTTGCCCTTCTTGGACCAGAGCCATATCTTGGAAACAGAGTAGCTCTCACCTTTAGATACACTCGTAATCTTTTTGCCTTTTGATTCCTTGTCAATGGAAGGATTCTCACTCTCTTCCCTTCCTCTAGTAAGCTTTACACCAAGACTCTGTCCATCATCATGGCTCAAAGGAACCCTGAGATCTGAATTGGCCAAAACATATTGATACGAACCCATCGAGAAACACCGCCTTGCATCTAAATTGCTGCTACTAGTTTCTCCACCTGCCACATCATCACCACCACCACCATCTAACCTCTTGAATTTGCCCAACCGAACAGGCACGACTCCTCTTTTAACAACTTCCTCAATCTCCACAGTTTTCTGCGGCGGAGGAACACCATTTCCCACATTACTCCCCTGGCAGCCTTCATCTTCTCTGAAATCATCATAATCAAATATTGGGTTCTCAAAACCAGGATTGAAAAGGGTTCCCCTACACAGAGGGCACGAAGAATTCGACAACAGCCATGTGTCTATGCAAGAGATGTGGAAAGCATGACTACACATGGGAAGCAACCTCAGCTTGTCCTTCTCGGAGAACTCACAGAGACAAACAGCACAATCAAAAGGCTCTTTCAGACCCACAATCTCTTTGTACTGGAAAACAGGCAGAGCATCTATAAAAGCTTGATCCAGACCAGAATCATGGAGATGAAAAAGCTGCTGCAGCTGTCTCTGAAGAGCATCTGAGCTAGACAATTCAGGATACCTATTGGACTGAGCAGCCCCCGAGGAAGATGGGTGCTTTATGAGGAATCTAACCAGCAAATGGAGCAAGCCAGAGATGAAGAAGAGCACTGCAAGTATCACTATAATGAACAGCACAGCAGGGCTGATTCTCGTACCAGAAGATGACGGAGACGATGAAGTAGAAGGAGGAGAAGGCGCTGCCGAATCTTTATGGAAGCCGGTATCTGCATACGGAGAAACCAAGGCAGGAGGAGGTGGTGGTGGTGGGTATGTCAAAAACCCATCTTTTTGGTGGATTTGATGCTGAATCCACGCCATCTTCAAGTGGGTATGCTCCATCAACCATCCACTATGCTCTGACATCCCACAGATCACCACTGTACAGCCACAGATTCCCCCCTCCAGAAAGAAGAAAACTTTTAACTTTCCACTAAGACGGAAACCCAGGAAGAGACGAACGAAAACAGCCCAGAACTCCTCCTTCCTACTCCTTCGTTCTCTCTCTCTGAGACATTTCAACAAACAGGCAGAACACTAGAAGACAGTAGGAGCAGGTTGAATTGAACCATCCAAAAGGTAGGGAAACGACAAGTCCTTCAAAAAACCAGCACAATGAACCACCAAACATTAATATATTATAAGAAGGGGAAAGAAAGAAAAGAGGAAAGTGAGAAAAGCTTCTGAGACTAACCAAATGCGAGAACTGTAATTTCTGGGAGCGGGAGAAAGCTTTGATTCTTGTGACGAGACGTCGAGTAAGACAATCCGTATCTAGCGAAGCGGGCAGAGGAGGAAAACGGCGAAGCAAGAGGAAAGTAAGCAGATTTGGAGCGGAGAGGAGAGAGTTGGAGAAAGGGAAAGAGGGAGAGACGACAGTGAAGCAAGAGGAGAAAGATTCCTACCGTCACTACTATGGGTGGCAAACTAATGGGTTTGGTCTGTGTCACGTGCCGGCTTCTTCTGCTCGCTTTTCTGGGATGAAATGCAAATTTTATCGGGCTTTTTATAAGCCCAATTGGACCAAGTCTTTTGTCAGGTTTGGGCTCAAATTATTTGGTAAGGGCCCAATTTGTGGCCTTATTAGCCGGACGTTCGCAATTTTTTCTGCAAAACCTTTCTCTGTTCAATTCTACTAACTTATTACCCGGAGAAGATAGGGTGCTAACTCTATAGGGGTTAGCATCATCCTAACTATCATTTATTTTTATATTTAATATAATTAAAGAAAGGACAAATTAGAAAATTACGGAATAATTAAAGTTTCTGAAATTACTGCTGATTTTTAGGGGGAAACAATCTCGGCTTTCTCTCTCATCAGTACTGTCGTACATTCTATCTCCCTCTCTCTCTTTATAATTTATATATATCACATGTGTCCATTTTTTTACCGTGAAAGGGATCTTTGAGAATGGTAGTGTTTTCATGGTAGTAAAAAATTCAAAATCAAAATATTTTTTTAAGGTTTATGTGATTTTCAGTGGTAATTTTAAAGTTATAAGTGATTTTGTAGCTATTTGTAGTTATTTAGCGCATTTGTGGTAGTGACTTTAAGACGATAGTGAGATTCGGTGCATTAGTAGCATTTGATTTGATGATTTGTAGTAGTAAATTGATGATATATAGTAGTGATTTTATTATTTGTAGTAGTGATTTATGGTTATTTGTAGTGATTGAGCACGTTTTAATTAGTAGAACTAACAAATTTTAATCAAGATTACTAATAGGAACATGAGATAATTATGTCAATCCCCATTGATTCCAGTGATTTTCTGCTGCGGAGAGGTTGCAAAACACTACAATTTAAACATTCAACTGGCAAATCACTACTACAAAGGAATGTGAAGACAAATAACAATAAATCGCTACTAGTAATTAAGAAGAATCTCTATTGAGAGAGAGAGAGAGAGAGAGAGAGAGAGGAGATGCGACTGAGAAAGTGGGCTGTTTAGATTTTAGAAGAGGATTATATAATTAGGGTTTAGATAAACACTTAATTACTAGCTTATAACTCGGCCTGTTGGCCGAAATGTTCATATTTGATTATTTATAATTTTATGTTATGTTTAAGTCTATCAACCTGTTTAATTTTTTTGATAATCTTTCGAATTAGATGATACATAAAGAAATAATATATAGGTTGAACACTCAAAGAAATACCATCATCTTTTAAGAATATAAAATATAAAAAAGTATTATTGATTTCATTTTCATTTTCATTTTCATAATGATAATTTATATTGGTTAGTTAATTGTCAAGAAAGATAGAATATAAAAGCTCACTGGAATTACCACACGGCCCATATATAGTTTTAAACTGAATCTAAAACCTCACAATCCTACATAAAGGCTTCAATGCTCTTCTTTTAGGAACAACATGCCACTAATAAAAAAGAAATTGAGAGTTGTTGGTTCAAGTCAACTATATACTACAAACTAAACTAAGAGGGAACCATCAAAACTTGAGAGCAAACGACAAAATTAGGGTTATCTCCAATATACTAATAGACTTGATCAAAGTCATAAGACATAAAATTAGACACTTCTTTTCTATAAGTTTCAGTAGGTTGAATAAAGAATCGACCTAATTCAGTAAATCAATGATTTCTCGTTTAACATATAAATAGGTTGTGGTAGCTGCAAAAACCATAAACCTAAAGAGCCAATAGTCACCACTCTCCGTTGAACGACCAAATTTTTATCCACTCTATCTTTAATCTCAAGAGGCATATGTTTCAGCCAAACAACTTCATTTCCTCGGGGCACTTGTAATAAGTTCGCTAAAACCAACACTCATCTCCAATTCCATCAATATGTTCATCTCCCCATTGACTGCCTTCACCTGCTTTAGTCCACTTCCATGTCCTTCCATAACCTCTCCATTTTCATTATTATCCTCATCATCTCTCACTTCTCTCTCTTTAACTGCTCCAGTTTTTCTTCCATGTCTTTCAACACCAACCTCAATTCATTCACTACCCTCTCCAACTCCCTCTTCTCTGCCTTCACCTGTTGCAGTGGAACTTTACCTGCTACAAAATTCAAACACAATTTCCCCCCCCCCCACCACTTCCATTCTCAAACTCAATTCCAACTCTTCTACTCCAAGTTTAAATTCATAACTACTTGATTGAACTCCATTCTATTCGACATGGATTGATATCGGATTTGAAATTTTCTATTTGCCTAGTTTAAATCCCAAAAATAAAACTTTCATGCCAAGAGAAACCGGAATATTAATTTTCAAATGCGTTCTTGTACTGGGAAGTGAAATGGCCAAATTATTGCACGATGGAGGGACTTTTGGAGGAATTTATAAAGAGATAAGAACAAAGATAAAAAAGCACAACATTTAATTTTAAATTGAAAAATACAATGACGCAACACGTAGTAAAAGAAATAGTTTCTTCCATGTTAGCCAATTACAAATTTACCTAAGCAAAAATTAAGGAGAGCATGAATTTTAAAATGGATAAAATTACATGAAACTCTACTATGGAAATTGAAGTATTAAGCACCATAAAAATAAATATGGTAGACTTAGTGGGCTTGTTGGTCATGATGTAAAAGTCATTAACTTTCCAGAGTTTAGTGTATATTTTGTATCAAATAGAAACAACAAATTCGTTTAATGTAGTTGGTTATGATTGTTGTCTGTGTTTGAAGAGACCTGGGTTCAAATCTTGATATTGATATTTTTTATTTGAAATAAATAAATAATATGTCAGACGCATGCTAGCCTTTGCCATAAATATATATAAGTTATTAAATTTTCACTCAACGGTAGTATTTTAAATTATGAAACATCATTGCAAAATCATTGTGGTGTTTAAACCCATGGCTGGTGTGGTTTATAATGGGGCATAATACATGAATTTGAATGTCTTTGTTGGATATATTTTGTTCCATGCTCTAAAGAGCATGAATTTTAAAATGGATAAAATTACATGAAACTCTACTATGGAAATTGAAGTATTAAGCACCATAAAAATAAATATGGTAGACTTAGTGGGCTTGTTGATCATGATGTAAAAGTCATTAACTTTCCAGAGTTTAGTGTATGTTTTGTATCAAATAGAAACAACAAATTCGTTTAGTGTAGTTGGTTATGATTGTTGTCCGTGTTTGAAGAGACCTGGGTTCAAATCTTGATATTGATATTTTTTATTTGAAATAAATAAATAATTGTAAAGACAAAAATGTCCTTCCTACTTTCACTCTCTTTACAGAAAATTTGAAATGGAGAAAATTACACAAAACTGTGCCATATATTAATGGGGAATTATCAGCCTGAGATTGTTACAATTTTATTAATGGCAGATAATAGAATTAGCACTGTACTAACCCTTTAGGGTGTTAGCATGCCATCCCATCCCTTATTACCCGCCTTTGGCATAACGCAATGACGTAAATTGACTTTTAGATTTTAACTGATATTATCCGTTAACATGTATGCGGCGATGGTCAGAAGTAGGTCAACAACATCATATAGTAATATGATGGAAAGTCATTATCTCATTGCATAGAAAACAGTAAAACATAAACACTATAATGGACAATTCAAACCAAATCACTAGCCTTAATTATAGCCACTATTGCTATGCACCATGATGCCCCTAGAGTGAACATGAAAAAAAAAAACAAAAGGAATGCTTACCTAGCTCCAATTATCGATGGTAAAAATGGAAGCCACTAAGAGATTTCATAAGAAAAACCCAATCTGGATTATCCTTAGACCAAAAATCACAGTGACACCAAATGTGATGAATCCATTGTTGAGAAAACAAAAACCAGCAATGTCCAAATCAAGTCGATGGAATGTGTCGACGAGTTTTTTCTGATATATAGTTTTGTTAATTAAAATGACAAAAAAAAAAAAATACAAAGCATGCAATCTGCTGTAGAAATCTTATATACAAACAAAAGAAACAGCCAAGCAACATATGCGTGGACGCACCAACACATAATAAATTTTGTAAATATCCCTACCACTGTGAAATCCTACCAAATCACTCCTAACCACTCTGTTACACTAAACACACAAATGACTTACAACTCTGTACTTTCTATCACTTCAATCTCTATATGTCATCATGAACCATCCCCATTATCACGACTCTTATCTTTCTCGACAACAAACACACTAATTGGTCCACTCTTACTCCTTCTCTTGGCAGCTACATAGCATTTTGCATCAGTGCAATTTATGACTTGGGGTAATATCACTTCAGTCATTTACAAATTTACATGAAATGAAAGGAATGATCATTATAATAGCCTCGTAAAATTTAGAGTACCAATGACGATTCATCTCTTCTCCTCGGTGGCTTCATTAATAAAATAAGACGCATTCTATATGATCATACTATGGCATTTTGTATAAACCATTTCTGCCTTACCCATTTTCGCATCACAACTCCAAGAGCTAACTTGCTGGGACTCTCATCTAGGTAAGCAACTTGTATCAACATCAGGCATGAAAACAAAAATTGTTTTGGTTGAGATACTATCAGGATCTTGTGATACTCTGAAGAAGGCTAAACCATTTCTCAGGCTCTCCTCTAGGTAAACAACTTGTATCGTCAGGCATGAAAACAAAAATTGTTTTGGTTGAGATACTATCAGGATTTTGTGATACTTTGAAGAAGGCTAAACCGTTTCTCAGTCTTTGTCAACCCCCAATCAATTTGACGTGGGTCATTGCTTTCTTACCATCTTTATTAAAGAGTAAGCTCAGGTTAGCCTCTTTTATAGCTTAACTTGACAATTTCTTAGAGGAGATACAATCACGGTTCACAAATCTAGAACAGCCACCTGAGATAATACAATCTTATGGAAACAACACTAATGAAGCACCTAAATTACAATTCTATACATGTTTCCTATGAGGGTGTGCATGTGCAGATTAAGAAAATTATAAGGATTAAGGAGGGAGCTTACTTGGCACGCGGTTTTGATGAGTAAAAATCCCGTCAA